GATGCATTTGTCCCATGTAATATTGTTGTGAGTGGAGAGGTGTACTTATGGGCAGGTCGTGGCTGGTTAAAGGATGAAACGGCACTGTCCTTTCTTGGTTGACACTTGCATTCCATTTGCAACCAGGATGAGAACAAAGGTAAGTCATACATCATATCTCCTTGTTCCCTGTAAATGTGCCGTTTGAAGCGACTGGAATGCTCTGCGGGCAACTTTTTGAGTAGGCGATTGACATGGGAGCCACATTTTAGTTCTGTCCGTCCTTGATCACCCAGAGTGCTAAGCAAACTAACTAAAGCTTGCACACGAAGAGCAAAGTTATCCAGAGTCTGACCATCACCTGCTCTGATAGGTGGAAGCTCCAGTATATTACGTAGCTCTTTCAATGCTAGCTGTCTTGGTTGCCCGTAACGCTCATCAAGAGCTTTTATGGCTTGAGTGTATGGGTCAGGAGCATAGGAAAAGGAAATAGCTAACCGTTTAGCTTGGTCTACTTTCAGATGATCGAGAAGGACATGATATTTAAAGTTCTCTGTCTCATGAGGGTCAAGCAGGTTAGTAAGGGCCATTCGTAACAGCCTATACTGGATTTCGTCTTCTCTGGTAAGGTCTGGGAAAGAAGGACCCTCAAGCTTATACACATGTGTTCTAGTGCTAACAGGGTGACTAGAACTAGCAGTAATGGGTACCGAAGGTTTTTGTGCATGCAAACCATCAGATGTAGCTGGTTGCTGCTTTACAGGAGGGTGCTGCCTTGGTTCTTGAATGTAAACAAGAGGTTGAACACAGGAAATCTGGTGCGGACCTTGCAGTGGTGTGGCCAGGAAATTAAAAGGAGTCTCATCTGGTGTAGGAAAAACTGGTCTATGTAAACCACTTGAAGGAACTGCAGCATCTAATATTATTGAATTAGGGACAGGAGGGCTAGCAGCCGGAACTGCACCAGAGTGATGGCTAACCTGTGGGGGCTGAGAGGGTGATTGACATGTTGCTGGATCAATCACTGGGAACTGCTCATGTTGCTGATGCGTTTGGGGAATGGCTTGTAAACCGCATACAGAGGATTTGCTTTCATCAGATGAGACACTGTGAATTGAAGATCTGGAGGAACTGCGAGAATGGGGAGGAGATAATTGAATCATAAGTTGCCTAATCTCCCTCATCGTCATCAGGAGTTCCCTCATCACCTCATCTTGATTTGTGGGTAAAGGAGCAGGGGATGTCTCTGG